CAAACAAAGACACACCCATTTGGGACACGCCCATTTGGTGACAACATCCGTTTGGATCCATTCACACTCTGGAAAAGTCCCAACTTTTAGACAGGCCACTGGTGGATTGTTCTCGCCCTCTCCAACACCTGGTCTTATTGGATACGCACTCATCATGCGCACCATGTTTCAATGCGTATGCACATGATGATGTGCATCGCAGCTTAAAGGGGCTTAACACCAGAGATGAGGCAGGATGTTGCGCCAGAATGGCCTGAATGTTAAACATGCCATGTAGATAATCAGCATAATTCGATTGGTGTTGCACGTACGTGTTGCCTTTTGATTGAAGCTCTCCCCTTAGCCGCTCAGACACGGTGTCTCTGCAAATCTGAATAACCAACGCGCGCTTGCGCGCGCTGCAACCCTCAATCAACCACGCGACTCTTCCTCAACCACGTTTTGAAATTGTCTTGGCGGGTTGCACGGAAATTGCGTCTGTTTTCAAGCTCACACACAAGGGTCCCAGAGCTCAGTTCGTTGGAGCGTACAAGGCACGCAGAATTCTCGGACGCTTCGCCGAGGTGCGCGAAGACAGCGGTGAAGCCGTGCAGCGCCGTGCTCTTGACCTGACTGATCTAAATCGGGTTCCAAGGCAAACGAAAAGGTCAAAGGAAAGGAAAACACATGCTTGGTACAAGGACAAGTGGGAGTTCAAACAAACAAGTCTTCTTTTGGGGAGGGCCGAACCTGGAATCCCCCATGACTGACTCAACTAAAGCCATACAAGGTCAATGCGAAACAAGGCAACATCATCACCATGGGCAAGGTTCAGGAATCTGTCACTCCAAAAAAAAAAAAAAAAAAACGCGCCTCGTCCCTTTCCTCCAAGTCCTTGCTCACCATGCCCAGGCCCGGCGCCCCCAGCTCGCCATTGCAGAAGAACCCGCTCACGCGCCTGGGGCGCCAGGGGAGCTGGGGAGAACCTTGCGGTCTGCAGCCACCCCGTGTACCCCTCACCAAATTCCCCTCACTCACCTTACCTCTTGGTTTTGGATTCGGGGGATGCGCTGTTCCTTTTGAAAAAGGGAAAGGCGCACCACCCCCAAAATCCCGCCCCAAAAGGCCCTGGTAAGTCCTGCGAGGGATCGCTGTCAGGCGCAACGCTGGGAACGCTGAGATCGCTGTCATTCGGAGCCCCCAAAACCTCCAAACCCCCAAACCCCCATACCACTCGTTCTTGGAAACACCCTCCAACCCACAAAAAAAAAAAAAAAAAAAAAAACAGAGCAAGCCCCCCAAGTCACACCCAGAGAAAAAAGAAAAAAAAGCCATCGCGGCCTTCGCCCTCAACTCACACCAAACAAAACGCCGCCACGGCCTTTCGGGGCCGTTAAAGCCAAGGGGCGAGCCCAGCTCCTCACCCAAGGCCTCCTTGAGCGCGGAGGCGTCCACGTGGCGCCGCCCGTAGAGGCCCTGCCGAGGGCTGCAGCTTCACCCGCCTTGACTCCTTGACCATAGGGCAAACCAGAAATTTGCCCCCAATATCGAGGGCAATCCTAAAAAAAAGCATGCTATAGGGTAGGGTATTCTGAAATTTCCCCCCCAATATCTAGGGCAATCCCAAATTTGCTCCGGATTCCTAAAAACATGGGCTGGTTGAGTCCAAGACAAGGCAAAAGCACATCCGTGCAGGCGGCATGCCCAACGGGGGCCCTTTTGGGAGCTGTCAGCTGGGGAAAAATGCTAAAGGGCACCGCAGCTTGTTACATGGCCACTTTGGCACGTCCGCCGCAGAATTGTCCCAGGGAAAGTGTCCAAAGTTCCAAGGGTCGCGCTTGCGTTGGGAGACCTCAAGATACCGAACGGTCTTGCCTCCGCCATTCAACCAGGAGTCAAGCTTCTCACCTACGGGTTCCCTGGCTCACGCAGCCTAAACCACATGTCCCACCCATCTACGCGGTGTAGACAGTGCAAACCTCAATGAGGCTGCCATTTGGGCAGAAGCTTGCAAGGGAGACCGTCTTGAAGGCGCTGGGATGGCCAGTCAAGCTCAGGCATTTACTGAGCTGAGTGGAAAGCAATCAAGTAAAAGCGGCAAGTGTCCAAAGAGAAAAACAACTTGAAAGCTCCGTTGTTTGGAGGTGGACAAAATGAAAAGTCATGGCAGACGTGATTGGCCACAAGGCGGAGCCACGTTCGAGGCAAAAGATTGATACGGAAGCCTGATACGCTGAACTCAGAAACAAGATTGCGCTGCATCTGACCTTGCAGAGCATGGACGTGCGCGGCCAGACACAAATACTACGCACACGGGCAGGCAGGCAAGCAGGCAGGCAGGCAGGCAGGCAGGCCTTCTGGCTGGCTGGCTGGCTGGCTGGCTAGCTGGCTGGTTGGCTGGCTGGCTGGCTGGCTGGCACGCCTGCATGCGTGCATGCATGCAGGCATGCAGGCATGCAGGCATGCATGAATGCATGAATGCAAGTACACACGCAGCTTCCAAAAAAAAAGACTCCTTGCGGAAAAGCCGCTGTGAAATCCACCGGCACAAGTCCATGCCTCTTCCAGAATGGCTCACGATCTTCTCCGTGAAGAGTTTAAGATGCAAATTCCAAACAGGGTTGCTTGCAAGCAAAGAAGAAGGGGGGAGGGGGTGGGGTCTATTTGAAAATGGGTGACATGTCCCATTCAGGATGAGCCCCGGTATGGACGTCCCAAGCCGCCTCACCCCGGCCATTACACGTGAAGAGCAGGCACCCGGTGGGCTCCTCATGCGGGATGCGCGGAATGTAGGGTGGGTTTGAGGGTTCTTTAAGTTTCCTTGCTTGGATGCTGTTGACCCCTCTGCAAAAAGTTTCACTTTATGTGGGTCCCATGGAAAATCCTCTGTTTCCCAAAAAGTTACAGTTAAAAGATCCAAACAAATAGCCAAAACAAAATAGGTGGGTTTCGGGTGGGTTTGGGCTGGGTTCAGATTGGTTTAGTTGCGCCTGCGGGATTTGGTTTAGGGTGGGTTTAGTGGTGGTCTAGGATTGGATTAGCTTGGGTCGAAAGACGAAAGCCAAAAGCTAGCCCAGAGAAAGACAAGAAGGAACTGGAAAGCATGGCCCTCCCATGAAAGCAACGCATGCACTTCGTTGATCTAGAGTTGAGGAGCATGGCATTCAGGCCGACCGAGCGACCCTTAAAGGCAATCAAACCGAAAACACGTAAGTTGGTCCTTTGGGGTTGCTTTCGCGCCAAGACTACCCCTCGTGCTCCGCTGGGCCCCAGGCCCCGCCACCAACGAAGGTGCGCTCTAACCTGGGTGGCATGAGTTGCTTTTCAGGCTCAAGGGGGGAAGAAAAAGGAATTGTTCAAACTCGCAGGGGGTAGCCCTCCAGTGCAATAAAAAAACATGGAGGTCCAAAGAAACAAAAAAACAACGCAGGGACTCGTTTTTGGTTCACAAACCAAAAAAAAAAAGCTTCGAAGGGGCCTCTGCTTGCAAGCTTCCGCCCCCCCAAAAAAAAGAAGCTCCGGCCTGTAGCGGTTCAGCATCAGCTTCAGGTCCGACTCCGCCGAGTCCTTGTCCCGCACGTGGAACCGCAAGGCCTGGCCCTGGCTCCGGGGAGTTCCCCCCGACTCGCACCACCGGAACGTTCAAACGCGGTTCAAACGGGGTCGGGGAAAGATTTATATATATATAAGCCCAGACACAAAACCAAAGAACTGAACCAAATCCAAGCAACTCACATAAATCCAGATGGGAAAATCATGGTGGGCGCCAGCGAATTCAAAGCTTCAACATGCAGAGGCCATCTGTGTAATTCCGTCGCCTCGGAAATGCCTTCGCTCAGCACAAAGCCTCCATTAGGAGTCACCTCAGACAAACACTTGTCACGTGCGAGAGAATTAATTAGCGATTGATGTGTTTCACTTATCAGAAATCCACATGGCCAGCGGTAAATGACAAGGTTGAGTACCGCTTTTCCGAGCCAGCTGAGTGCCCACACTTCAGCGATGGGACGAATGAGCCAGTCGCCATCGTCAATCTCGGCGGCAAGATTAAAGAAATGGCGAGCCTGAAGATTTCCCGGACCTTCCTGCCAAGCGTTGAAACAAACACTCGCGCAAACAGAAACTGGCACGTTGAAAACGGTGAAACCTAACAAGGACTGTCAAAACTCATGTCTCTCACTACTTGAGCATGGGGCGGAATACTAGGATGACCCCGCCTTGGTGTTTGGTGTCATTTGGGGCCCGTCCCTCCCCGCCCTCTGTAGACAACCAATGGCATTGGCACCTAATCTCATTTGACCTACAGCTAGATTGCCTCAAAATGCCAAGGCGCAAATTCACCCGTCCGTGACACTCTGAGTCTCGCAAATTCCCACTTGGAGTCTCGCAATTCGCACGCTGGGTTCCCAGGCTGAGTTCTCGTTCACAGCCTGACCTGAGTCGTTGAGGTCGCGCCAGGCGGGCACGTGCACTCGGAGACGGCCCTCAAAGCGAAGGCTACCCGTCTGACTTCATGTTGACCCCGGTGTCCCCTTTAAGTGGGGATTCAGACCACTTTTGGAGGGAACATCCCCTACTGGGACGGGTTTATTCATCCAAGGTCAACATCATCTGGCTGTTTCGAAAGAGATTGCCGATGGGCTGGTTTCCAGGACCGCGCGCGTCGAATTCGATCCGGTCATGGCGCAGTAGAAGGTGTGCAAGCCATGTGGGCAACTAGCAGCCCGCCCGAGAAAAGCAAACGGACACACAGCCTGCCCAGAAGCAACACGAGTCAAGAACCTTTTTCAGAGGCCCCACACTTTTCACCTTGGTCCCGTCCAATTGCTTTCTGATGGGTTCCCGCTGCTTGAACTGGCTCATTTGGCCTGACGCAAGGGGAACAACAGTGTCCATTGGGCTCTTCACAAAACCTTGGGTCTGGATTGTGTCTTCCGAAAGCCCGAAGACATGTCGCCTCCGCGCGGAGAGCAATCCGGGTTCTCCCGACCTCCGAGGCCCACCAGCAGACTCTTCTGCATCTTGGCCCTAAGCTCCTGCAAAAGATGTGCAACTCGAGTTCAAGAAGCCTGTCCCGGTGGGAAACGTCCGCATCCGTGGCTTTCTGGATTTCAAGGTATGGATTTTCAACCTAGCAACACAGCACAACAAAAGAGGCCACTTGATAGCAAGAGAAGAATGATCTGTCACTGGTTTTGAGTCTCACAAAAGCCGCCCTTCACGCAGGGGAGAATTGGCATGGGGCCAGGCTCAACCTATCGGCGCGACAGTGCAATCCAATAGGTCGGAAAGCGCGAAAGGATAGCAGAGGACAAAGGACACCTGCACGAAATCCTTCCTGCCAAATCTGAAAGATTGATAGGAGCGCAAAGACACCAAGCAGCGCAAAGAAAAGCTGAAGATGGGGGAGGGGGCGCAGTGCGCGTTTTTTTGAGTGGAATCTGGAGTGTCAAGCCGCCATAGTCAATCCACACAGCTTTTCCACAGGACATCCAGCTGGCCTTTGCAATACGCGTTGGACCCATGTTCCACCGAACAGTGAGTCGGTCAGCTCCTCGTTCACCGCGCCGAAGATAAGGCCCAGAGCTTCTTTCGCCGGCCTAAGCTGGAGAACATTGCTTTACGGATAGAACTCGATTGTAGAGGGGGGCCTCCTTTTTGGGTTCCATAGGTCTCGAGAAGGAATTAAGGTGGCAAGACCCAGGAAGAAAAGATGGCATCGATAGAGCCTGCATGTGTTCAATCGAGCTAGCCGACGCCATGTCGTCTCCAAAATTCTGCACCATCTGTTCGATCCGCCAGCCCGAGATATCAGGGTGTGTCTTCCTCTCTTTTTTCTCGGGGACCTGTTTAAATGGTGGGTTTCCCCTTGGCTCTCCTTTAAAACACAAAAAAAAAAAAGAGAAGAAAACAAACAAGAAAAAAGAACCCAAAAAAAAAACCGAGCGGTGCCCCGTTTTATAAAGCCGCGCTCGCTCGCTAAAACTCTGGCCTGCCGCCGATGCCGATGGCCACGGGCCCGGAGACCGAGCTGATGCGCACCTGCCGCGCTGGCTCTTTGTTTATCCTTTTGCATCCTTCAGCACCTGGGGGAGGGGGGGGGGTTCTCATGGGGGGGTTTTCGGGAGTTCTCATAAAGGGGAATCCCCTTCTGGTCCACTGGGAAGTTTTGTGTTGCTGTTCCACTTTCGTTGTTTGAAAGTTGGCTCCTAAAACATGCGTGCGCGGTGCATCCCTTTGCACGCAAGAAGGCTTTCTGGAGATCAGAATGAATGGACACCCTTTTGGTAGTTGCATGTTAGGGTTTTTAGGAAACGATTTCAGAAACAGCCAGATCTTCTCACTGCAAGTCTCCAAGATGCAATTCGCACACCAGGAAACAAGGGCAAGAGGTGCTTGTCCTCAGTGACCTGGCTTGCCCATATCAGCATAGTAGCACCCAAAATCAAGTTCTGCTTGATCCTTCCAGGTTGTGAACCCTCCTGTCAAACCAATCAAACCAAGTCGAGCCCCGCACAAAAAAACATGGGAAGCAGCATTGCTACAACTTGGTGCCTTCAATATGCCGGTGAAAGAAACAGCAAAGATCGGAATGATGTGCACCATCTGGGTCCCCAAATGTCCTATGAAGCTGTCACCAAGAAATGGCTGTGGGTCAAAACCCTGTGCCCCTGGTGAACATCAAAATAGGTGGCAAATGGATGTTCATCCACCCCAAAATGGCTCGCCATAGGTTGTGACGACCCATGGCCAAATACCAAAAAACAAGAAACGCGTCTGACGCGCAGGGCTCTTGGCCAATGCGCTTCCCGGCCTTGGGGCCAACACCCAGGCACCCCTGGCAGACCACCGTGTGCACCTCGGGGCGAAACCTATGCTGCAAGCCATGGATTCTTGCCCGTCAAACTGCGAATGCCTGTGTAAAGGCTGGTGTTTGCCCACAAAGCACGAGGCAGAGTGCCCCTCATACCTTTGTCAAGACCGGGATGTTCGCAAACTCGTGCAAAGGGCTCAGCGGAGACATGTTGGCGGGGTGGTGCTGAACATTAGTTGGCCTTTTGCCTGAAACAAGAACAATGGAATGCTGAAACAAGGTTTCACTAGCTTCTGACCACAAATCGACGAAACCTCGCCTTCGAGTCACACAAAGCAGTTGCTTTGGCCGCTGGATGGGAATACTTCAAAACTAGGCACCAGAAATTCACGAAGTTCCTCCAAATGGCCCGCAAAGCGGCTAAAACAGGGGGCTCTTCGCCTTTCCTACCCGCTCAGACCAGGCAGGCGGGCGTCCATCTCCGTGAGCATTAGCCTTGGACAGCGGCGCCACAGTTTCCACCTGCAGCTTGACCTTGAAGCCTGCCTTAAGCTTCGGGAAATCCCACATAAAAGGTCCGCAACTCGCAAGGCCTTCATGTGGCCATGGGTCAAAATCCCGTAGACTTAAATGGGTGATGCACCTAACCCAAAATGGCACCATTGGTGTTGACCCACAGCCATGCGTCTGCAACCCACAAATTCCCAGTGTTCATCGTAGGAAACGCGTCGGCCTCCTGGGGCACCAAGGCCATGACCCAGAAATGCCCTGGCTCAGCAAGCGCGCCTTGTTGCCTGCGACTGCGCGCTTTGTTCGCATTGATCTTTGAAACCTGCGATGTGAGATGTCGCATATGCGTTTCATGCTTCTCAACCCATCCTCCTGGCATCCTGGGCATGTGGCAGGGGGAAGAAGTTGACAAACCTCCGATTGACCACGATGTCCAAGGGTGTTGTGGCCAAATTGGCTTCGTTCATCTCCAAAAAATGCGAACCTGAATACCTCCACAGCCTAAACCAACCCGCCCACCTAGCCAGCTAGACACCCAGCCACCCGCCTCTTGAGCAAATAGACATGGACGGCATGAAGCTGGTGGTGGCGCCACTGCCCACCTCGGGAGGGGAAGAAGAAAAAAACGCGGCAGGGCTGTTGACATGGCCCCTTTGCTAGTTGGGATCCATCGCTCAAAACCGTTTTGGGATCCCATTTCGGGGTAGGTGAATTCACCAACCAGTTTAGAACCTACTTTAGTTGTTGGATTGGGATGTTCACAGGGGGTACGGGGTTTTGACCCATGGCCTCTCCTGCCTCGGTTCGGTTGCCTCCGAGTGCTTCCAGTTACCTCCAGTTGGGAACGACGCTGGGCGCCAACGCGGAAACAGCACCTTCTCCTTTTGAAGCCAAAGGGAGCACCACCCATGCAAGAGCCATTTCAAATACGCTTCGTCGACGTGAATCTCTGTAGTCCCCCGGCACGCAGGGCGGCTGTGATGCCGCCTGCTTTGGACACCTACGAGTCGGATGTCAAGTGGATCCCTAACTGAAATTTGGGGCTGTCCGGTTTGTTTGGACAAGCGGAGAACCCCAAGTCAGCAGCCCGAATTGAAAACTTTGCCTTGTCTGGTTGGTGTTGCTGCGCGTTGACTTGAGAAAATGGTATGTATTCAGCTGACCAAGACTTCAGTCCACAGGTTTCAATTTCACGCTGTAAGGAACGCGCGCGGCTCTCAAACAAAAACTGCCGTACAAACAGGTGGCAAAACAGAAAGCCCTTCCCTCTGTTTCGATTGCCCCGAAGCCAATGCCAGCTACCCAAAAAGAAAGCTCCTAGGCGTGTTGCCTAAACCTTTCGAATGAGGGACATCATTTCGCACCAAATTGATGTCTGGGCCAAAGGCGACACCCGTGGCGCTGTCCCAACCGGGACCATATGTTTGAGAGCCTTGATTATAGATAAGGAAATATGGCTGTGGGTCAAAACCCTGTACCCCTGGTGAACATCAAAATAGGTGGCAAATGGATGTTCATCCACCCGAAAATGGAGCATAGGGTATGCCCCATGGCCATATCTCGTCGGTGCCGGATGGCCGGGAAAAACGGCCACCTGCACCAAGGTCACTGAAGTCGGGAGAACGACCGGCGGCGGTGCGCTCGAAAACGACACCCGCGGCGGTGCGCTCGAAAACGACACCCCAAAAAAACTGGCACAGGTGGACATTTTGTCAAGCGTCCAGCTCCCAAATCGAAATTTGGGCGATGCCCGGCCACCTTTTTCTCGCGATTTCCCTAGCCCGGAAAAAATCCAACCAAACTCTTGGAAAAGCTGAAGACCCTCGTCTTCCATTTTCGCGTTTCATTTCCCTGCCTTGGGGAAACTTTCGTCCAGGCTCTGCCTCAGAGCAGCTTGAGGCACGAGCTCAGGTGCCTTCCTCGCGACTGGAACGAAGACTTCGTGAGTGGAAAGCTGGACCGTTGCGCTGAAGTTCGGGGTGAAGAATTGATAGGAATTTTACTTGGGGGCCCTTTGGTGGACATCAAAATTTGGTGGGATGCATGTCCACCAATCACTTTTGAGGTGGTTGCCGCTGATTGCCTATTGAAAGCCATAACCATATGTTTGTTCTCAGCGCTACGAGGTGCACCTTGTCTCTAGACTGAGTGCACAGACGAAAGGCCTGTTCAAATCCAAACACGAGCTGCGCCTCGTCCAAAGGACCAAGCGTCCCAATGTCGCACTGGGCGCCCGGCATGATCTTCTCCACCGGTCCAAAGGGGTCCGCCAGCAGCAGCATGGACCGCACGGAGCCGCCCTGTGCCTCAAACCCGACTCCCACGGGTTTGAACACCTGTGCGGGTTCACAAGATCTCCAACAGCCTTAGGATGGCTCGAGCTGTCAGGCCAAGGCTGATCCAGGATAGCAGGCCTCTAAATGTCATTTGACCAGAAAAATGCCACATGACCAAAACACAATGGGAACATCGAGAAGCTTCGTGGCTGGTGTACGTTCCTCTGGTGCTATCAGAAGTTTTTGGCACGTAGCTCAGTGGACCTTCAAAGGATTTTGATTTGTTTAAAACAAGAGTGCTTCATGAACTGCTGGGGTGTCTCAAAAGGGGGACTCCAAACCTAGGGCATCCTTCGGCACAGCCGTGGTTCAGTTCAGCGTTGGGCCAGGGGCCCCCGGCCATTCGGTTGATCAGCTCCAG